AGATGCCACAAGCTCCCATCCCCAGACAATGCCAGTTCCCAGGAGGGGTAGGACAGTACATGTTGGAGTCATAGTAAAGGAAGAGGAGAGATGAAAAGATTCACAATTTTTAAGAAAAATGCATAATTCGTTCCCTATTCAGGGGCAATGAGTCAAATTTGACACTGTGGGATTTTGACCGTAGTAATATTTTTGAGATGCTTTGTAGCTTTTAATGTACTTTCCCTTACACGGTCCCCGATGATGCACATTGTTTCATCTGCTCCCCACGGCCTACTAAGCTCAGTGACTCTGGAGCACTTTGCAGCTTTCCATTGTATCGCTGCCATCCATCACGGCATTGTTTCCTGCTCCCCTCCCTCACGATTAGAAGAATTCCCCGATTAGAGAGGTGAGGCTGAACACTGTGAGTGCCCATCGGATCAGATTCTTAGAGCTAAAAGGGACTTTAGAAATTATCAAGAAATGATCCTATAATTGCCCTGAGCCCCGAGACACTGAGCGCCTTAACTAGTTGACAGAGGAGGCGCTGGCTGCTATGCATCCCTGCTTCACCGGCCTAGGTCCAGGGGAATCCTAAAAAAGAACCTGGAATAAGGTTCTCAAAGCCCCTCAAGACCTAAATTCATTAGTTCTTCCTTAGCATCATCTCCCAAATCTGCCCTTTGCTCTTCATTGCTGACACCAACATGCCAAGTTAGGTTCCCAGCACCCATGAGGTCCTTAACACCCAGAGTCTTCCTGGAGGTTTCTGTTCTCTTCGAGCACCAGATAAAGTTTCCTAATGACACAGTTTTCCTCACGGCTCCTTTTGTGTAAGAAAATAAAGTTCGAAGCTCTCCACAGAGAATGTAAAGTACCCCACAGTTGGGTTCCTGGATACCGCTCCATAATTATGATGTAATAGCCATCCAAACTACCCCACTTCCTGTTCTCTACCCCCGGTACACAAGGCACAGCCTCTCCTTTGTGACTTTCTTCACACTATCCTCCCCTGCAATTGCTTCCGTTTTTAGTCGGTCTGGGCTACCGTAACAGAATATCATAGACTAGGTACCTTATACACCACCCAAAGTTATTTTTCACAGTTCTGGGGGATGAAAGGCAAAAGATCAAATCCCTGACAGATTTGGCATCTGGTGAAGGTCCGTTTCCTGGTCCCCAGTCATCCTGTCCTCACAAGGCAGGAAATGGTAAGGGAGCTCTCTGGAGTCTCTTTTACAAGGGCAGTAATCCCCCTCATGAGGGCTCTGCCCTCTTGACTTAATCGCCTCCCAAGGTCCCACCATTGACTATCATCCTACTGAGGATCACATTTCAACATATAAACTTGGTGGGGGGGGGACAAAAACATTCAGTCTATTGCAATCCCTCAGTTAAAGGACATTTCCTTAAGCCCAGATAAATTTCCCTCTTCCCTTAAAAAAGTCACTCGACCACCACAAGATGGTCATTTATCTCCTCACCGAATCCCAACAACACTTCTCGCCTGTAGCATTCATCAGGAGATTTGCATAGGTATTCTTCAAATTTTTGGATTTTTGATTTATATAGTTTATGTCTTGAATTAAACTCCTTAAAAGCGGAGGTCTTATATGGCCAGTTTCCATCAGTACGCTTGCACAGAGCAATGTTCAATGAAGGTGTATTTATGAGGAAGACAACAAATTCTACATGCAACATCATAGGATTTCAAAACCTTCAATCTCCTGATGCCAAATTATGGAGAAAATTTCTTCACAGATTTCAAAAATACTGTTTCAGTGTTTAGTGACACTTTGGTTGAGGAGGTATCCTTTGGGACATGATCCAAATTCCAAATGAAATATTTAGCTTTATACAATGAACTTCTGTCAACAACTTTCTTGAAAAGCAAATTACTTTTGACTTCCTCCTTGTGTATTTGATGAGAATTGTCATAACACCATCAGGTTGAAGAGTGAGATTCTTACATGAATAACATCTCTAAAGGTTATTTAACATTAGGAAAATGAATCCTGTTCACCAAATGTTCTTTTATACAATGTAATTAACAATTTTATCTTTACTCCATATGGTTATCATTACAATCAAATTTTCCATTTTCTTAAACTGCATATGATCTTGTCACACCCATTTTTGTACTTTGAACATTTCCTCCCCCAACAAGGAAGAGCTTACTGGGATTGGGAGTAGAAATTCTACTGTAATTTTGAAATTTTTGCTTCAAGAATTTTAGAAATTCTCCACCAAGAGAAAATATGAAGTAGGATGATTTGTTATATATTTCAGAAATGAAGTAAAAATTCATGACAGTCTTGGGATAAAGGTCAGTCAGATAAATCAAAATGAGGCTATCTATTTGCATCTGTCTATTTAAATTTATTTGCCGTTGGCATATATATGAATTCATAGGGCCAAAGAGAGTAATGGCACACGTGTATATTTCTTCAATAACTGTAGCAATAGTTTAAAATAATGCCAAAATATTGAACCATAAGCTTTCAGTTCTAAAGTTTGTTATGAGTTAGAACATTTTCATAGTAAACATTTTGAGGCTTCCACACTGGGATGCAAGGTAGCTGTCATCATATCACTCACTAACGGGGGAAAGGATCACTTTCTTATTCATTGTTAACTCAGGACAAGATCAACATTTCCCTTTTTACTCAAAATGTGAATATAACTGAAGTGGTAATGGGAAATTTCTCTGGACATATACCTCAGACCATACAGGTCCTCTATGTCTAGTGCAAGGGCCAAGGGATGGTGGAAGACTTTACTACATCACAATATATAAAACTATATTCTCAATGTATGATTTTTATTAATTTCTGAATTTTTCATAAAGTAAAAGTGAGGGCAATTTTTACATTCTAAAAATACAGTTTATACTTATTCTGATTAAGACTTTTTAATAACACCAAATTTAATAACGTGGTATATTTATTTCTTTAGTCATTATTATATCTACCATACACTATACTTTACTTAGTTACCTTGTTCATTATCTTTCCCCATCCCCACTTCTGGAATACAACCTCATCAGAGCAGGTGTTATTAACTTGAGGCAACTTCTATGTCTCTGGAGCTTGTAGACTGTCTTAAAATATCTGTCACAATAAATTAACAGTTTTCAAAGTCGTATAATATAGAGTTGTAGTGTTAGGAGAAATGATATAAGGATTTTAAATGAGAATTTGAGTTTAACATCATAAAGGGAAATCACCAAATATCAAAAGTAGGAAACATTTATCTTAAGCAAGTCTCTTTCTTTTTTAAAAAATATTTTACTTTTCTATTCATTCATGTGAGACACACAGAGAGAGGCAGAGACCCAGGCCGAGGGAGAAGCAGGCTCCCTGTGGGGAGCCCGATGTGGGACTCGATCCCAGGACCCCGGGGTCACGCCCTGGGCTGAAGGCAGACGCTCAACCACTGAGCCACCCAGTTGCCTCAGCAGGTCTCTTTCTACTACTGTCTCATTTTATAAATGTAGACGTGAAGATGCAGAGAGATCAAATGTTTTATCAGATCCCAGGATGTTGGTACTAAAGGCCACCTTAAACCTCAGAGACAGTCAAAATACTCAGAGTTACTCAGCCTATACTTTACTACATGCAGTGGTAGTGAGTCCCCTATCCCATAAAAGCATCACATTTAGTCTTTCAGAAACACTATTTGTCAACAACTTCTTTCTTATAGGTAATTGAGATGTGCTTTCCTATGCTTCAGTTCTTCAGTCCTTATGTCATGCACAGTATGTCTAGTCTGGGGTAGTTTTAATGTTTTATATATATATATATATATATATATATATATATATATATATATATACTAATATAACCATAACTAATACACACACACACACAGACACACACACACACACACACACATATATATATATATAACTAACAGGGGAAAGGATCACTTTCTTATTCATATACATATATACATACATATGTATGTGTGTATATATATATATATATATATCCACAAACACACACACATATAAAGTCATATAGTGAAAAGTCTAAATTTGAGGTTCTTTATGAATGAGAATTCTGCACCAAATACTTTTTCTGCCTCACTATTTGTCCAAAATCTATTTGCCTCCTGCCTTTTTCTCACGTACACACACACATACATATTATATACACACACGACACATAAATACACAGGCATAAATTCAACTGTTATATAAACACACACATTATATATGCATCTATTTCACAGAAGGGTGCATGTAATTATATTTTGTGTCTTGTAGAAAAATAACAGATAAGAATATGTAAAATGTTTATAACCTTTCAAACTCCATTTCCCTCTTTGTTTAGTTTCTACTGTATCATGAACTGTAAAATAAAAACCACATCATACTCCTCTCATCCTCTAAAAGTCAAAATTGAACCCCATTCTATCAAAATGGGTTTATTAAAATATCTATTAAAATTGTTAAAATGTTTCTAGGAATCACTCTGTTGTGACCTTCCAACTAATATCTCTTAATCTACTGGTTGTTTCAAAATCCATCTAAATCCCACTCTCCCCTGAATATTAAACTTCTTTAGCTCTCTCTTGACAGGTAGCTTCTCTCTCTCTTGATAGGGAGAATTAAGCACAATACTCTAGATGTGATCTTATTGGGAAGAATAGTATAGGCTTCTCTTCCGATTCATTCAAGAAAGTGTATTTTTCCCAATACAATTTATAATTCCATTTGGTTTTCCAGTAGCCATATCATGTCTGACTCATATGGAGCTTGAATATCAAAAAAAAAAATCCTTAGTAATTTTCTATATGAATTGCTACACCAATTTGCTTTATTCTATACTCATGTAGTTGAAATCTTCTTTAGGTAGGAGAAGGGTCCTCAAATTGTATATATAATGATTACTGATATAACTCACATAATAACTACATTAAAAATAGTGTCATGTTCACAGAAGGTGCATATTCTGAAAGTTAAGCACAGAAATTTAATTGAGGGGCATAAATAAATGTTGAGACGCATATCCTACCTATAAAAACCTGGTGGCACTTGCTGTACCAGGAAGTTTTTCTCCATGTCTTGAAGAATGTCATTCAGCATTCGGACACGGATGGGAATTCTCTCCTTGGGATCATTAGCAGGACGCATCTCATCTGACTGGAAGAGTTCAGTACTTTCCCGTAGGCGAGAGGCCAGGGCTAGCAGTTGAGTGTTGGGTTGATCACCTGGTGAAGGTAAATGAGTCCACCTCAGAAGAGACATCCTCAAAGGAGCAAAATAAGCATTTTGCGATCTTGATGTCAAAAAGGAACATCAGCTAGACTTTATCATATTAATTCCACCAAGAAATATTCTACCTATTATATTCTAATAAAAGTATTAAATTGATTGCTACCACCACTACTACTACTAATAATAATTATTACTTCTAATAATAACTGTAGTGAATAAGTACTGAGTATTGAGAGACTGCTATGTTCCAGGCACTGTATTGAGCACCTCCAATATTATCTCAATAATATTCACCAAAGCTTGCATTGTCATGTCTACTTCATAGCACCTGAAAATTAATTAAGGCAAGCAAGTGATCCCAGGTCATCAAGAAAAATAAATGACAAGCCAGAATTAGAAGCCTGATTTTTCTGACTCAAAAATTCATGCTCTTCATGGTGTATTTGTATTTCTAGGGGGAAAAAATTGTAAAAGAAGTTATCTTCTCTTCTGAGAGCATGAGATACATTACTCTGTTGTGATGTGTCCATGGGCTCTGTTCCTTTCCTAAAAATTTCCTGTAATTAAAAATATTTTAAAATTGAAATTAAAAGATTTTATTTATTTATTCATGAGAGACACAGGAGAGAGCGAGAGAGGCAGAGACACAGGCAGAGGGAGAAGCAGGCTCCTTGCAGCGAGCGCGATGCAGGACTCGATCCCAGGACCCTGGGATCATGCCCTGAGCTGAAGGCAGACGCTCAACCACTGATATCACAACAAAACTTGAGGTTGGGAGAGGAGAAAGTTTTGCTCATTGAGGAAAGTTAGCGCCCTAAATAACAATTAAAATAATAATGTCATTTTATGAAGATACGGTTTATCTTAAAATATGATGGTTCACTGAAGTTAATGTATAGTGATCTTACAGGACATACCTTTGTACAAGGAAAGAATAAGACAAAAAAAGGCACATTTAGATTATACTGGAATCAAAAGACTGAACAACAGAAAAAACAAGTTCGACATCCTTGAGAGTCTTCCATTTAAGAAAGAAAAATCTGTTCTGATCTAACATATACTACAGAATTGAAGACATTACTACTGAATCAAGTGAGACAAATTGTACCATTCTCCCTTATTTAGCTTTAAATGAATTTATCTTTCATGGTGGTGAGGATGTGAAGGACTGACAGCTTTAAGAACTAACTGCCTTATTCCAGAAAGGACCCTGATAGTTGAACACCTGCCATCTACACTATACCCTATATATTACTTCAAGGGTATAAGGTTACAAATTGAAAAATAGCTTTACTTTCAATGTTCACTCCATCATTTGTATTAGAACTGGTATTCCAAAGATTCCCAATAGCCATTTTAATCTCAGTTAGAGCCTATTTGTCCATTTAAATAAGATCCAGAAAGTAATATCACCTAATCTATGTAAGTTTTGACCCTAAATGATTTTCCCCCATGATCTTAGGATCCCTGTTAGAATGTCAGCTCTGTGAAGGCCGAGATGGTTGTCTGCTTTACTCACTGCCATTTCCTCAGACAACACTATGCCTGGCATGTCACTGAATTATCTCTTTTGATCATTGCATCATAGCATCTATATTATTTTTATCTTTATCTGCCTCATCCGTCTCCTTCCTTGAAAAGAACCCCACAAGTTCAGCAAATAGGTTTTAAATGGAGAAAAAAATAAATAAATGTTCATGCAAATGATTGAAGAATTTTTTGTGTACAAAAATATCCTAAGTCCAGAGAAGAAGTGAAACTTGAGAGACGGACCATGGAATTGCCCAGAAATCAAGGGTCTCCAAAAATGGAAGTTCTCGGACTTCATTTCTACATTAAAGCAGTTGAGGATGAACTGTTTTCATCTGTAAACAACAATATTAATTGCTACTAATTAATTCCTTCTTATTCCCTCAGTCCTCGGCTTTCTAGAGGATGAATCTACCTCTAACTTCAACCCTTCCATTTTTCCATCTTGTTATACAAAGAACAGAGCTGGATATCATAAGCAGGAGTAATATTAGCAGAAGAGGGAAGAAGACGGAGGAAAGCAGAGAGAGGGAGAGGGAAGGACGAAGTGTGAGTCTGTGGCTAGTGGGATAGTGTTGAGATTTATGGAGGCCGGGTCAAGAGAGGCTCTTAAACACACTGAAGGAAACCCATCCCTACTCCTGCCTTCTCGCCAATCATCACATTGCAGCGTCCTCCCCTCCAAGTCATTTGGGAGGCCGTGTGGTGTAGTGGAAAGGGCAGGGGCTTTGGAATCTGACAAAGCTATAGTCACGTCCTAATCCTATCGCACAAATGTATACGCCTGAGAAAGACACAAACACCCCCTCCCCGACCCCACTCACAGTTTCTTGATCTCTAAACTGCTCTTAACAACATCTAGTTTGGCTCATGGGGCTGGAGTAAGGTTAAATGTCACAAAGGACATAAGACACTGAGCACATTACTTGGGCCTTTGTGGAGTGACCCCTAAGGTGCCACGGTGTCCTCAGAAAAGTTGTTCCTCTTGAGGGCCATTGATAGAGGCTCCTAAAACACCCTCCAGTAGTGGATCAGAAACTCAAAGACACTTCATACTTGTCCTACGCATAAGGTCTTAGGACATGCAGGTAAGACAGTAACTAACCACAGCGCCGTCTGCCCCCACTGAATCTGTATGTTCTGTTTGAACCTGCCAGGACCTGAGGCCTGCACACACGACTTCTCCCAAGGCACTTCATGTCTCGATGAGTTTCATCTTGGCATAAACCCACGTGTTTAAGTCTGCTCCACAACCTCCTAAACAAATACATACCTGTCTGATTTTATTTTATTTATTTATTTATTTATTTTTTACCTGTCTGATTTTAAAGAATGATTTTACTACTTACTATTGTGGTCTTTCATCAGAGTTTTATACTCTGAAAAGTTTTAAATTTTAGTTTATTTCCACTTTTCTTTCTTTTTTTTTTTTTTTGTTCTATTTTGTGGCTGTATTTTTAAAGACTCACTCAATTTCATCTTAAATTAAGAGTGAAATGTGCTGGTCATACTCTGAAACTACATTTTTATTTCAAACAAACATAGCCTCTTACTTTAATAGTATTTCACAGAACCTATTCTTCTGTGGATGAGCTTATCACAGTTTTAAAGGTGCTAAGAATCGCACAATCATAGCTTAGACTTCACTGATTTATAGTGACAAGGGAAAGTATGATTTATGTTCCACATAACACAGTGGTTAAAAGCAGAACAGAAGATTATTTGGGGGGAAAAATGTATGTTACTTAATGTCATTTTAAAAATCTCTTGTGGCATCGCTAAACAGAAAAAAAAAAAAAAGAAATTGCCAATATGATTTCATCCAGGGGAAACAACAGTCCTTTATTATCTATCCTACACTTTCTATTCTTCATGCTGGCTTCTTTAGGATGAATCACAATGAGTCATCTCAGCCGGTTATTTAAAGAAGCAAAACAAACAAAAACGCAGGTAGAGAAAGTGTGGGAGCCAGTGCGCTGCTGGTGAATAACCTAACACTGATTTTACAATACATTGATAAAAGGATATTATTTAAAACCGCAATATGCCAGAAGACAGTGGATAACTATGTCTAAACTGAACACAGCAGAAATCTCTCTTGCAAAGATGCCAAAGTGGCATGCTCAGGAGAAGAATCGGGTTGGCCACTTTTTAAAAAAATAGGCAACATATTCTGAAGATTTTCGGATAGTCTAAATATTGCCCAATGATCCAGATAGCCAACACAGATGGAAATCTAGCAAGATTTTGAACATATTGCATGGAATGTGTGTCTGTCTGCCTGGTGTAGGAACTGATCTGATTATTGGCTGCTTTGGAAGAGTGAGCAAAAGCTTCCTTGAATGAATTAAATTCACGTGTGGTTTATTTTTTACCAGTCTCCTTCTGAGGCAAAAAGTTGGACTTGTATATTCAATAACATGTGTGAATTTAATTATGTTTTGGTCAAGCCAAGAAAATGAAAAAAATAAATAAATAAAAAGACTGAACAAAATTAATCAGTGTGAGGGCAAAGGTACTCTATGCTCTATTATAAGCCAAGATTAAAAGTATCTTTTTTAAAAAAGCAACAACTTTAAAATTATTGCCAGAGAGGCAATACTCACAGAAAAATGGATTGTGGTACTATCCTGTCATGGGCGCAGGGTTTTATCCTAAAAATACACTTAGGGGAAAACAAATTCACAATATAACAGACCATTACTATGATGGGAAATTTAAAATTTAAAATTATATGGTAAGAAGTCATTACCGTATTTCAATCAATGTAGTGACACATATAAAATGTAGGTACTGAAAAGCAAACTTTAAATGAAGTACTTGAATGAGGTGCTCAGAGTAGTGAAGGAAATGATGACGGAGGGGAGCTGTAGGAACTGCAACAAATTGTGACACAGGGCTTAAGAGAAAATAATATAATTCTAAGGAATACAAAAGGGACAGCATGCTTTGTATAATGATTAAGGGACATTAATCAATAAAAAATATGAGTTCAAAAAGAAGTGGGAAAAAAAAAAAAAAACTAGTTTCAGGAGACAAGCTCTGATACTCTAGAGACACCCAGATTTCATTGCAGACCCAGCTGTCTCAACTCCTTGTTTGAACTGGGTGTGGAATAATAAATAAATAAAATGCATCTTTAAGACAGTTATGTAGTCGGAGTCCATACAAAAACACATTGTGGGCCAACAGTAAACATAGTTTTGGGAATTTGTACCCAACGGATGGCCAATCTCTATTGAATTTCTCTCAATTTGAGCAAGCAAGGTAAGCTACTTCTGAGAGAATCCTTTTAAGTCCTTGTCACACAAAATGGTAAGTTCCAGAATTGCCAGTTTGGGTCAAACCACTAGAAATCTAACATGATTCAAAATTTCCACGGGAATAAAATCTTTTCTTAGAATTGTTTGGATTTTAGATGGACGGATTTGGAATTTTCTTTTTTTTTTTTCTTTTTTTCTTTTTTTAGGATGGGCACAGGACCCGGTACCTAGTGCAGCCACTCTTCACTGTGGACTCTAAAAACCGAGATGTACTGATGACTAGACTTGGGCAACTTATAAAGCACATACTTAATTTTTCCTTTTGGGACATTCAGCATAAATGACTCCAAAAGAAAAAAAAAAAGACATCAGATGGGTTTCAATCGCCTGTGATGGTAGAAAAGAACCAAGTGACACACACTGACAATAGGAAACTACAGATGCAGGGGAACGCCGTGCGCTTGCTGCGGCCACATCACCACCTTGAGATCCTGTCCCTCCTTCTACAATGAAACGGTTGACACTAACCAATTATCAGAGCTAATAAAAAAAAGAAAGTAAAGTCATATAAAGTCACCATTGTCCGTTTTTCCAAGAACTGGAGGAAGTACCGCCAACAACTGTCTTACATTTAGTGAGACAATCACCAGGTGGCAACGAGCCACCCACTTCGCAACTGTTTCCTGCTGAGTCCGACTTGTACCAGATAAATGTGTACACGGTCATTTGTAGTTTTTACAATAATGGTAAATAGCGGAATCCCAACAAAGAAAAATAGCAGATATTAAACAGAGAGCATCAGACTTACATAGTCTTCAGCTATTTCGAAAAGTGCTGTTTTAAACTTTAAATTGTGTAGAAAGTGAGAAGGAGTGAATTTAGTTAGGTCATCAAGTGCTCCCTCCTTAGTCTGCTTCCAGGTTCCAAGGCGTGGCGGTACCCGGGGTGTCGCTGGCACCTGCCTCTGCCGCCCGCACACCAGTCCTGGTGCCCTGTGCCTGCAATGCTTGGACATACTTTCCTTTGCCACAAGTACACCTGAGGCGTATCAGTTATCTTATCAGTCGCTATTTACACTCTGTCTCCGTGTACCGCATATAAATATTCATTCTCTAACTATTATGTGTTTGGCATTGGCCAAATATTAAGAGCCAAGGTCACTCAGTCAACATGAGCTTTCAAGACCATCCAATAAATCAACTCAAGCAAATTATTCACTGGTAAATTATCCTTCTTTCTGGTGGTTGTGAGAGTGGGAGAGAATGGTCGGCTGCTACTGTAAACTAGGGTAATAAATAAACAAGATGGCCCGTTGTCAGGGGGTGAACATTACACCGCTGAAGATGCAATTGGGTTTCAGAGACCTTCGTATGTAAACTCTTTGCAGTAGGGAGAAACGCTATTTTATGGTTGAGCCTTGAAGGTCACTTTCTTTTTTTTTTTTTTTAACCTGTGATTGAGAACTTAAGACTCATCATCGTGAGGTGTCATAACAAAATCAGACAATATATCAACAATTAAAGCCTGTATAAGCAGTAAAATTAGATGCTTCATTTAACAAGGTACAGGAACTCCGTTGCTAATGAAGTCATCCAGCCTTGTAGCTAAAATTGAAACTGAAATATTTATTTAGTTGTTGTAAGTGGTGTCCATTGTTCACACATTAGCACACTCTTCTACTTTAGTAATAAGGTCATAACCAGAGTAGGCAAAATGGAACAGGTACATCAAGTCGCCGACTGTGTAGCACACATTCGAATGATCTTTCACTTTGACACAGAGCAAATAACTTTGAATTGGGATGGCGAAAATGTGAGAATGTGTAGCTTAAAGGTGATGAATCATATCCACTTTTTTTTTCCTTTTTTTCTTCTTCTTCTTTTTTTTTTTTTTGAATCATATCCACTTTGAACAAATATGTATACTTAGGTCATAATAAAAAATATATATATATTTTTTTGCTTATATTTCTATGTTTTCATCACATTTGTTTGGCTTTGTTTTGTGTCTCTATTATGGGCACATCTTAAGTCTGCCCACATCTTTCTGAGTGAAAGCAGCAAGGAGACCCAAGGAGTTTCACATCAAAGAATATAAAATTCAAGACAAAACCAACAACCAAAGAAAAGGTTCTTTAGGTCTAGCAGAGGCAGTCCGACCTACCAGCAAGAGGCCAAAATGCTCCTGGGCTCACCCAACCCAGAACCGTGACGTCAGGGAGCGGTTCATCAAGACTTAGGAGCATCAGCTTGCAGTGGAAATCTCTGTGGCGTGCCTGCAGCTTTCTTCCCTCCTTGTACCGACACGCCTTGAGAGGTGACTATTAAAGAATTATTAACCTGGCCTCTTTTCAGAATATTTTCTGTACCTTCTTCCTTGAACTAAAACCTGCCTATCCCCTGACGATACGGCTTCCACCCCAGCCCTCCCAGGCGGTGTTCCTTCTCCCGCCAGCCCTAGAACACTAGCAGGTGCCTCTGGGTCATTACTGCTCATTCTGGGAAGGCTTTAGGGCCTGGTTCAGTCACTCTCTCTTACAGGTATTGGTCCCGTCTTAATTCTTGGTAATTTCAATACCCACCTATTATAGACTTTCTTTCCCTTGGCCTTTTGTCCTCCCATCCCTTGCCAGAAAACTCTCATTACCGATGTCTCTGATCTTTGCATGATCGCATTTTTAATAATCCCATTTTTTTGGCCACTATCAAATGAGTCTTTTTAGCTCACTCACTGTCAGTTCTTTGATTGCACCAAGAAGTGGCATCTGTCAATCCTCCTTCATTTCTGTTCCCCCTCATTGTCATCATCTCCTCACTTTAGATACTTTGGCCCACCTCCATGGGCGCTCCTTTATGCATACTCCCAGTTTTATCTTACCTTGTTCTTTGTCCCATTCCCATTAGAGCTCTAGCCTGATTAAATCCAAATCTATCAGTTCTATATCTGAATCCCCAGCTGAAGGCTGAATAATTGTGTTGAATCTTCTCGTTAAAATATCTATATTTCTTCTGAACTCTCATGCTGCCCCCAATACAGGGATCTCTCATTTTATTGCACTTTGCTTTCCTGAGTTTCACAGAAAATACATTTTTTTTTTTTTTTACAAATTGAAGGTTCATGGAAAGCCTGCATCAAGCAAGTCTAAGATAGAAGCTTGACAAAAGTAAAAAAGAAGGAAACTGTATAGAGACTAGCTTAAAAATACTGAAAACAGAATCATCTGAGGCCACATCATATATGAACAAATAACTGTAAAGAGTTCAACTGCTTTCAACAGCCAATATAATTAGAATCATTAAGGGGGGGGGGGATTGTGTTGTAAATTGTGTTGTAGTATTCTCCAGGTTAAGCAATCCCTGTAGTCAAAATTAAAAAAAAAAAAAAAAAGTTTTCAACTTTCAGATCCTGGAAATATTTGGCTGTTAACAACAATTCATTCCCCTCCCCTCCAAAAAAAGAAAAAGAATAATCCATTTTCTAAGGGTGACTGCTTAAGTAACTCTAGTTCAGGTATTGGCTTTGCGTTGAGAAGTATATGCCTACAAATCACACGTTAAATATTTGACGACAAGACGTGCGACTCAAAGAGGAGGGTGCATTCTCCAATTGCAGCACTGCCCATTGTATCTGGTTAATGAAGACAAATTGTAAGTTGAGTCGAAAGATCTGCATGCAGATGAAAGGGAAATGAAAGTAACTATTAAAATAGTCTTAGAATTCTGAAGAAAGAGACATATTTGGATATGAAAGTATTGAAACTACGGCAAAATTTATTTTCTTGTCACCTTTAATCTAGGATGAGCCAACACTTGAGTGGAACAGCATGGAGCCCACACCTCAGGAATCAATCCCCAAGGAAAAACTTCCAGTCAGTCTTGTTTGAACTGACCGAATATTAGGTATAAACTTATTTATCTACTCTCTTATTTATTTATTTGGGAAAATACCTGAACTACATTTTTCCATGTGGAACCTATAAATGATAACAGAAGTTTGAAATGATCAATCTCTCTGATAAAGGAAAGTAGGGGAAACATCCTCTATAATCTGATACTTTGTCTGGTGCTCACGCATAAATACACCTTGTTCCTGTGGATGTGGTGGTCAGATTTCTTCTAAACCCCTCTCGACCATAATCCTTCCCACAAAGGGAGTCACTGCATTGCCATAACTAATAAGTCAGCATATGATTTTATCCATTGCTCGTTAAAAATTAGTTGGACAATTTTTCATTTGTTGAAAATTCTATAATTCAAAGAAAAATTACCTTTAAGACTGTTTTGAACTTCTAAAGCTACATCGAGTGCATTAAAGGGCAGAACTGGTTCATTGGCAATTTGCAAAATCACTTCTCCCGTGAGCTGAAAGAGAAAAACACAAAAGATGCTAGCAGTCAGTATTAAGGGTTTCTGATTTGCTTTTTCATTATTTCATACATTCTTATATAACCACAGTAGTAAAAACACAGAGGGTAAAATATACTTTTATAAGATATCTTTTCTTTTTAAATTTCTTTTTTTTAAAGATTATATTTACTTATTCATGAGAGATACACAGAGAGAGGCAGAGACACAGGCAGAGGGAGAAGCAGGCTCCATGCAGGGAGCCCAATGCAGGACTCGATCCCAGGACCTCAGGGTCATACCCTGAGCCAAAGGCAGACACTCAACCAATGAGCCCCCCACGCATCCCTAGATTTCTTTTTAGTTTTTTAAAAAAGATTTTATTTACTTGAAAGAGAGAGAGCATGGGTGGGGAAGAGGGGCAGAGGGAGAGGGTGAAGCAGACCCCCCTGACCAGGGAGCCCTGCACGCCGGATCTTGATCCCAGGACCCCGGGATCCTGACCTGAGCCAAAGGTAGTTGTTTCACCAACTGAGCCCTCCAGGTGCCCCTAATTTTGTCTATAAGGAAAGAAAACACATTCTGTATATTTTTCATGTCTTAAAGAGTATATAAAGGCATATAACATTTTCTCCTTTTTTAAGCTAAAATATTAAGACATATCACCCTCCTTCAAGAAGTTGCAATATTTAAACTTTAAAATAATTCCTTATTTTATTTATACAATGGAATATTACTCAGCCATTAGAAATGACAAATACCCACCACTTGCTTCGACGTGGATGGACCTGGAGGGTATTATGCTGAGTGAAATAAGTCAGTTGGAGAAGGACAAACATTATATGGTCTCATTCATTTGGGGAATATAAAAAATAGTGAAAGGGAATAAAGGGGAAAGGAGAAAAAATGAGTGGGAAATATCAGAAAGGGAGACAGACCATTAGAGACTCCTAACTCTGGGAAATGAACTAGGGGTGGTGGAAGGGGAGGTGGGAGGGGGTGGGGGTGACTGGTTGATGGGCACTGAGGGGGGTGCTTGACGGGATGAGCACTGGGTGTTATTCTATATGTTGGCAAATTGAACACCAATAAAAAATAAATTTATTAAAAAATAAAATAAAATAAAATAATTCCTTAAAAGCAGTTCAGAATGACACACAATAAAATAAACAGTAGAGAGAAATAACTGAAAAATCAATATCTGGTTATGGGACTAAGTAAAACTCCAGACAAAATTAGTGATCAATTTATTTCATTTAAAATATAATTGAGTCTGAACAGATGGTTACCAGAGTGGAGGTGGGCAGGGGGCTGGGTGAGATAGGTGACGGGGATTAAGGAGGGCACTGGTGATGATGACGAGCACCCTGTGTCCTAAGGAAGTGCTGCATCACTAAATCGTACGCCTGCAACTAGTATTACACTGTATGTTGACTAACCGGGATTTAAATGAAAACTTACAAAAAAAACAAACAAACAAACAAACAAACAAAAAACTGTTGCTTTCATTAGGAATCAGAAAATGTAAATGTAATTTAGTCTGAAAAACTCCATTAAAATCTCCGTTACTATTTTCCTTAAGGCTTTGCTCAGTTAATAATGACTTTTCCAAAATCTGTCAAAACCTAGCATCATTTATGTATCTTTGGGGTCCATGTTTAAGTCAAGTAAAAAAAAAAAAACAAACCCTCTAATGGCATCTCCAAAACTCATACCTGGCATCTCCATACATGCACATCCCCCAGCCCCGGCTCCAGGGCTGTGCTTGAAACCAGCACACACTCCAGCTGAACGAGCATCTGCTTCCTAGACTGAGCAAATCGTATGCATCCATATACATCTCAGAGGAACTTCCTGCTGGCAGCACATGCCACTGTTACTCTCCCTCTCTCTCAATTGATGTTTAATATTTACCTGGGCCTAACAAATGTCCCTACATCTCTAATAACCCTGAAGCCGGCACACAGGGAAATGTGGCTGCGTTGATGTTATTAACGTACTATGAAATGCTGTTAGTAAATGAAAATATTGTCTTGTGAAACTACACAGGGGAAATTAGCACACTAACTCGAGACATTATAGAACACGTAAAAGACAACAACTTACGGGGAAAATACGATGTTAAATATGCACATCTACAGATTCGACAAGGGTCAAATTCCATTTAATATTTAAAAGCCATAATTCCCGGTTGTTTGCACAATTTATATCATGATAAAAGTACAATTCAATTTGATCTTCTAAATGCTTAAAAAACCTACATCTCTTAGAAAGAAAGAGGGCGAAGGAACACTTTGGGTGTCCTTTTATTTCTTTGAGATATTTTTCTCCCAAATGTAGTAACCGCTTCCTCCTCCCCCACCCTCAATGCCTCCGGTTTATTTGCAGAATTTCATCCCCAGAATAGTGATCACACAAATCCTGGGAAACTGCCTACTCTGATAATGCTGTTTTTCAGGGGAAAAGCTTTATCTGCAATAGGTTGATATGAATTCTGTCTCTATGCCACCTCACTACATCCAAATCATGTAAGAAACGCTGATATTTGGAAATAAATTATTTGTAAAAAGGAATTTTTAAAGAAGATTAAGAAGCATTATGGTTTCTTCTTTTCAATTTGCACTGGATAATGGAAACGGCAGAACAGACATGTTTTGTTTACAGTTTTGGAATCTGGAAGCCACACATTATAAAAGATTAAAATGAAAGGATGGGGAGGGAAGAGAAAGGCAACTTCACTGTGTGCCGCTGCTGCGAGTTGTTTTGTTTTGTCTTAAGAGTCATTTGGCAGCTCCAACAACTGGAGCGTAAGCCAGCCACCTTGCTATTTCTTTCAGAAAGAACCTGACAACAAATCCGGGGACTTCCGAGGCACCTGGCCCACGATAGACTGCTTCCACCCCACCGCTTTACTTGCAGCCTCATAAGCAAGAGGGGGATTTACATAGGTCTCACCATGAAGTAGGAGGAGATGAGCCGTACTCCTACTCTCTCATCCACTCTGGAATCACTCTTCTTCAGGCAAGCCGAAGCAAGCTCCTCTTGTATTTATATAAAGCCCCGCTGTTTTCAAAGTTAAGCTTTACACTTAAATGTCTCATTTTATTATCTTGGCAAACCTAGAGGCGGGTAGTGGGGGAATTAATTCTACGTCAAAAACATAGGTATAAGGGTTAGCCTTCCTGGGTTCCAGTCCAAGGTGGTAATATAGGAGGATCCTGGCCTTACCTCCTCCCGTGGACACACCGAATCTACAGCTACACGTAAAACAATTCCTTCTGGGGAAAAAAAAAATCTAATTGCGTGTCTCTGACACATCAGCAAATAAAAATTCCACTTTGAAATGTGTAAGAAAGGCCGAGATGCACTCTGACCATAAACACTAGCACATCACAGCAACGTATAATTGGGAGAAAACTCTCAACTCCCAGTTTCTCCCTGAGGAGAGAAGGGTTTGGATCCAACATGGAGTGCTCTAACCTTTCAGACTTCCACCGGAGGGACAGGCCCCCAAAACATCTAGCCCTACAAGCCAATGAGACTTGGGTCCACAAAGCTGACAACACTATAGCAAATGAAGAAACAGGACTTAAGGGGCCTGTGAGGACTTGTTGTGAGTCCCCAGGGCTCAGTGAAGAGGTAGCAAGCAAAAACTGACTATATCCCAGTCGCCCTCTGAAAGAGGTCTATTTACATATCGTAAAGGCCACAGCTTGAGCATCAGGGTTCTGATTTAACACACACCTAGGGGCCACCTGCAGTACTCTCTGGAGACCGAGGCTGCCACGTGCCCTCTTCACATTGTCTCTCTGCCCTGCTCATCAGTGTCTCCCTGAAAGGAGCCTGGGCACCTGCCTGGTGCCCAGGTTTCGTCGCTGTCACCCAGAAGATGCACCCCTTGGTTGCCTGGCTCTGGTGGCCGGTGGGGCTTGAGTTATTGAGTTTGAATTCCCAGAGGGCTGTGGCAAACAGAATAAACCCACTTCTTAATCAGCTATCCCCTCAGGGTTCAGCCTGAAATGAGAAGAGGAAATGTCAATCTCCCAGTCTTCCCTGAAGGAGGCCTACGTGCATATTTTGTAACTGCTGCCTGAGGGTCAGGTGCCTACTACAACACACATCCAGGCACGATTGTGGTCTCCTTCCCCAGAGAACAGGGAAGTCAATAGATAGGATCTTAGCATTCTTCCAACAGCCTCCTCCAAACCACCGATATCCTCCTAGAAGGAGTTTATATACCTATCTGGCACCCCAGCTTTTACAACTGCCACCTCGGGGATGGGGACACACCCCTTGAACCCTGGCTATGGAGGCCCATGGAGCTTGCATTCCTAAGTTTCACAGGACTGCAAACAAAGAAACACTTCTTAACCGGCTATCCCTCTGGAGCTAAGCACTTAGGAAGCCAACAGAAGGGGTGTCTGGGTGGCTCAGTCGGTTAAAGCTCAGGTCACGATCCCAGGGTCCTGGGATGGAACCCCGCAATCCAGCTCCCTGCTCAGTGGGGAGCCTACTTCTCCCTCTCCCTCTATAGCTCCCGCTGCTTGTGCTCTCTCTCACTGTCTCTCTCAAATGAATAAACAAAATCTTAAAATAAAAGAAAAAAAAAAAGCCAATAGAATTGTCTGTCTTCTAGTCTTTCCCTGAAAGAGGTTTATTTACATACTTCCAGAGCTGCGTCCTGAGGACCTTGCTTCCAAACAGCCTACATCTAGTTGCTGACTGAGATTCTCCCCTTTGGGACACTAATAGATCTTAGCACACCCTCAACCACTGTAAGCCCAATCACAAACAAATAAGAGAAAACCAAGAGCTAGGGCCAGGATGAATAATACATTTTTTATCTCCTACACAAGGCCATTCCATCAAGATTAGAAATGGTAGTTGTTTTTTTTTTTTAATCTAGTGCACAGAAACCCACACAGACAGTGAAGAAGAGTAAAGAAATAGAGATATAGGTTCCAAACAAAAGGATAAGAAAAAACTTCAGAAACAGACCTTAATGAAATGGAGGTAAG